AATAAATAAATAAATAAATAAATAAATAAATAAATAAATAAATAAATAAATAAACAAACAAACAAATAAATAAATAAATAATGTAAATTGACTAATGCTTCATCATTTTAAACCCTGTCTGGGATGGTTAGATTCTAAGTAATAAAATTTCTTCAACCATCTAGCCAATAAAGTAAAAGAATCGGAGCCTCTGTATCCACTTTAATTAATGAAGTAAACCTGTAGCTTGCCCAGAATTTAGGATTTTTATCTGGTTTTCAAATCAATTTTATATAAGCCTCATAAAATGAAAGAGGCCGTTTACTAGCTTTTTAAAAGATTCATTATAAACTTCCAATAGTACAGAGTCCAGGAAATCTGCAAACACTTCGTACCATTCTAGGACTAGGAGGTTAATCAATTTACACAAACTATTAGAATCAAGTAATATCAATATTATCCTGTAATAAAAATTGAATATCTATATGATTCAAGAATTGCTTCCTATTATCCTACAAACTTTGTCTGTTATAATAACAAGTATATGATAATTTAGAAAAAAAAGTTAATTCTAATTATTTTTAATAATTAGTAATTAATAATAGTTAATCATATAGCGTTCTCCTGATTGAACAGGCGGTTGGACTAGAAGACCTCCAAGGTCCCTTCTAATCCTATTATTCTATGTTCTACATTCTAATACTTTACTTTAATACTCTATTTTAGAAAGTAGGCTCTGTTGATCTTGCTTTAATTGATGTGTCAACAACATATCATTTTTTTCATCAGGCTCCCAATGCTGTAATCTATTAAATGAAAAAGCTACCTGGTCATCATAAAAAATTCCCATCTGTAACTTGGCTAATACAACTGCATGATAGGCCAGCTCCATAGGATCTTCTACATCTTTCTTTAATCAAAATTTCTTCTTTAACTTAAAAATCCTTCCTTTTGTAACAAATGTTAAAATACCAATTACATTGTGCAGATTTAAACTTTTTAAATTGAAGGGTTCAGGTGAGAGAAGCATGATCAGATATAATAATAAGATGAACAGAAGAATCGAAAACATATTCTAATAAAGAAGAAATTAAAATAATCTAGTATAGAACACATTCTGTGAGCATACGAAATTAATCCTAACATGAAGTTTACACTACACATCAATCAAATTAAACTTTTGTGTGTAAGCTTAGAACACCTTCTAATTTTGATTATAACTATATTTTTAGTAATATCCTTATTCTGATACATCAATAGATCAATGTCATTTCCTAGAATTAAATGATTATATATTAATTATACAATTATATATTAATTATACAATTTTGCCAAACATCTATGAAATAAAAGAATCATTTTATAGGCTAATAAAATAATAAGAATTAAATCAAAATCTAATATCCTATCTTAATAATAATAAATGTCTATAACAATCAATATATTCTTGTGTTGCTAACATATTAACCTCTTTCCTAACTAATAGCATAATTCAAGCAGTTTTAATACTATTCCCACTAGTATATGAAAACATTTATTGCTTTTTGTCTAAGGTCAAGTGTAATATTTATTTATTTGTCAAATTTTTAGCCTGTCCAATTTCAAATAGCTCTGGCAGCTTCACAAATTTGAAAACAATGTACAGCATGGTATAGAACATTAGTTCTTAACCTGGGCGATATCNTGCATGTATGTATGTATTCTTTATTCTGATTTAATTCCAGCTACAGGTTTGATTGGCTGCAGTTCTCTCTCTTCTCCCACCATGCCAATGGCTAATAACTGCTTTGTGCAGTCATTTCACCAAGAGGAACAATTCAAATATCATTGCTTTTAGTAAATATATGAACTAATTTCAATGGATGTTAGAAAGTCAGGTCAACTTTTTTTACACATACAGACAGACTTCCACTGAATTCAAAACAGAATAAACAGAAAAATGAATTTGATTCTGTAATTATGAAAATGATTATATATTATGATCAATAATTTCAGCCTGGCTCAATCCTCACTATGTCTGTGTATAAAATATCTTTTGGATATTTGGACATGAAGTAATTTATTTGGGGTTTATTCTTAGAGCACATAATTTTTGATATGCTAATAGGAAGTCAAATTTTAAAATCTGGCTTATAATATAGTTTCAGGGTTTTATGATTTTTTCACCCTGTTGCTGATTCCCTTGACAGACATCACACCAAATTTGCTGTTTTAAATCTAAAGTTTTTTTAAATATTATTTGGGAACAACAGGCCACTAAAATTAGGATTACCTTGAGCAGATGTTTAGATGTCACAGATTGTAGAAAGGTGAAAAAAAATGTAAACAATACAATCGGACTGCTACAGTTTTAACCTAGGAATGGTATAGGGACCTTCTCAAGTAGAAGACCTCCAAATCTCTTTCAATTCTGTTATTTTGTATTCTTGGCTTCAATGCAAATCACACAAAATTTTGTCTTGGTGCTCATTCATCTGAATACAGTAGCAAGGATGCTTATTTTTCATACATGAAAGAATTTTATATATGAAAATGTATTTCATGTGTTACATGTAAATGACAATTACTAACATACACTGTTGCTATACATTTTTTATAAATAAAGATAGAAAATGAATGAATAAATAAATAACAGATACAATATAAATATAAGTAAATTCATGCATATTAAAATAAAGGTAAAGGTTTCCCCTCTTCAGTCGTGTCTGACTCTAGGGAATGGTGCTCAACTCTGTTTCTTAATCAAGGGATCTAGCATTTTCCAAGGATATTTCCTGAGTCAGGTGGCCAGCATGACTATATGCTGAGGCGCACAGAATGTTGTCACTTTCCCACTGAAGTGTTACCTATTTATCTACTTGTATTTGCATGTTTTAAACTGCTAGCTAGGGCAAGTAACAGGAGCTCACCTGTGGCCCAGCACTTGGTTCTTGAACCCAAGTTGTCAACTTTCCAACTGACAAGCTCAACATTTTAAACCACTGAGTCATCACCCCCCCTCTATTAAAAATAGTTGTCTTTTAGAATTCCTACTGAAAATAATTAGACTCCTCCCCCCTCCCCCAATCCCTTTCACTGAATCTTCCTCAAAAGCAGCAAAACTCCTACAGGAATCAAATGCCACAGTGATTCTGTTGATCACATTTGTCAAAAGGATTTGGGCCCAAAGTCCGTAAACAGCATTTAGCCCAGTTCTTTTTAAACTGTTTGTTCAGTGTGCAGTACTTTCCAAAATACTATACTATGTGTATGAAATTAGACAGAAAAATACTTATCCAAAATTCTTAATACATAATTGTCATATAAAAATAATCTGCATTAGCTCCCTGCTGAGATAATACCCATTAAACCTAAAGGATCAAATTATAAAACAAGGACAAAAATGGACACACCTGCCAAGTACCACATTGTAACTCAAAAGAATTTGAAATAGTTTGATTTGCCATGGCTCTCATACAAGGTTGCAAATAATATGTCTCAATCCAACGAACAAAATCTCTGGAAAAACTGCATCTGATCATCAGTTGTTTTAAACAATTAATCTGCACCAAAACAAAGATTTTTTTTGCATTTAAAAAACACAGAGTCCAATCTGTCTTTAGCTATTTCCAGTATAATTATAAATAAATAAATAAATAAATAAATAAATAAATAAACAAACAAACAAATAAATAAATNTCAAAAGCACCTTTTTCTGTGGTACATTGCATATTGGCAGGATCAACCTTTGAGTCATTCTTGAAGCAAGATGGGTGGCATATAAATTAAACAAACAAACAAATATCTAGGCTTGAGCACTGTTTAAGCTGCGGAGGCATAAGTCAATGACTCTACTTTCCTGTTGTACAGATGTCAGTTTTGCCCTTTCAGAATAATGCTCAATTTGTTCTCTAATCACATTCTATTTTTCTCTTAAGCTTAATGGGCTCACCTCCTCTATTTCTGAGATGATCCTAGGACAGCTCTTCAGCCAGGTAAGCATCAACAATAGGAGAATAAAGAAATGATGGATGGTACATAAAGAAGCAGAGTAGGATATTTGGTCTCCCTTAACTTCCAGCTCCCTGGTGATATTAGGAGAGACTTTTTAAGAAATGCATGTATTTCTTTACTTCAAAAGTAAAGAATTTGAATGATACTTGGAAAACAATTGATATTATAGTGGAAAAAAATAGGAAACAAGAAAATAATTCCTGTTTCAATTTTGTGTGAAACACAGTGTGCTTCAATTTTGGCAAGATGTGTGGACTTCAACTCCATGCTGGCTGGGGAATTCTGGGAGTTGAAATCCATGCATTTTAAAGTTGCCAAGACTGAAAAACACTGCTTTAGAAGTTTAGTTTTTTTCTATTATCCTCATTCCTTGTTCTATTTGTAATATTTATTTTCTGGGGGAAATGGAATTGATATGGAGTTATATGACTAATCATAATTACAGTTGGATTGAGAGAAAATGGTAGAAGAAACCTGAATCCATTCCAGTGCCTTTAACCTGAGTTGGAGGTGCAGAGGTCAACAGGCATAAATTTTCTTAGCAGCGAGGGAAGCAAATCCCTTGCCAAAAGAGATTGATAAGCCACAAGCAACAGAGGCTGGTTCAAAAGTTGGCAGCCCTAGAGGTTAGATAAATTTAATGGAGAAGCGGTGAGATTAAGTTACAGGAGTAACACTCTTCTTCTTCCACAGGAGGAACTTTCCAAGAACACTGAGATGGTGCAACAACAGCGGGATATCCTGAGTCATGCTACAAATTTACCCAACATTCAACTCTACTGGAGTAGTTACAACAGGTTGTAGGGACAGGGAGGACAGGGCAAGGCTGAGTCCAGGTTAAGCTCTCAGCGGCTGCCAGAATAGCCCTACAGGTAGAAAACAAACTAGGACACAATAGAGAAGGATGTCCACATAAAAGGACCCAGCCTAAACATAAACTTCTCAAACACTTTCCTTTTGATTGCTAGCCTATGAAGATAGGCCTAGATCAGTGCTTGAGAACAATGTACTTTTCACAGAGATACTTCAGCTATTCACAAGCTGCATCTAAAGTAGCCAGTCACAGACCGATAGGTTTTNGTGCTGTGATGACGTCAAATGCGCGCTTTCGTCGAGCGCAATTTTGTCCTCCACGCTTTTGTGGTGGAACCGTTTTTAGCTTCCCTATAGGTTTTTTGGGGGTGGCACAATGGCTCAGTGGTTAAAACATTGGACTTGTCAGCTGGAAAGCCAGTTTCCCAGGTTTGAAACCCAATAGGGTGAGTTCCCATCCTCACCCCAGCTCCTGCCCACTTAGCAGTTCGAAAGCATGCAAAAGCTGGTAGATAAATAGGTATCACTTCAGTGGGAAGGTAACAGCGCTCTGTGATGTCACGGTGGCCACATGACCACAGAAACATCTTTGGACAGTACTGGCTCAATGGCCTTGAAACAGAGATGAGCGCCACCCCCTATAGTCAGCAATGACTAGCGGAGTAAAATCCGCAAGGACTTCTTTCCTTTTTTCCTTCCTGTTGTTTTTAATTTGGTAAAACTCTACGCTTCACTGCTAGTTGTTTCCCCCATTGCCCCCACATCCACCAACTAAAAGTCTCCAACACCCTAGCCCAGGAATATATTGATGCGTCATTCAGATATTTTGAATTATAATTCTCAGTGTCCTGCTGATAGAAATTAGAGTTTCAAACCATTGGAACACACTAAGCTATATAACTGTCAAGTGCTGGGAAAATGGGAGATTCAGGCAGTTCAAATGAGTATAAAGATTTATTGCAAACATAAGCTCTCTACAAGAATGTGGCCAACTGACCGTTAAGGGAAATGCAGGAAAGATAAGAAAGGCATTCAAGGTGGTCTGGACAGCCTGGTCATCTCCTACAATCACCCAGCTTTAATCCTTCTATATGAAAAATGTATTTTACACCACTAGTCATTCTAGTGCCTTTTCTTATATTATAATATCCTTTCTCTGATCAGTAGATAAATCTCATGACAATAATCCAAATTTAGCCACAGACTATGTTAGTTCTTTTCCCATGTTGTCCACTTTGTTGGCCTTTGGTATTTATTCTAACCAAGATCTAGTGGCCTTAATGTTTTCAATAAATATGGTTAGTATATGGTGTCAACTCAGGCCATTTGGTGAGCTTATGGTTCAGCATAGAAAGTTGATTGATTCAGTAATGAGGTTAAGCATGTTATGTGAACACAGCCAGTGTACATTGAAGTTTGGACATGGATATGAACCATGCAAATTGAATGGTACATCTCTTTCTATAGTCTACTTCTACTGTATATTTTGGCCAGNATGGCACTGTCTTTTCAATAAAAAAGGGGAAAAAACAGAACTAAGGAGGGAAACAATTTACAGTGAGGTTTTAGTTGTTTGAATTGTGTGGTATTCAGACGGGTCAGCTAGAGAGGTATTGCCTTGTTTTGCTTAGGTGAGGAGAATCCAGGAGAATCCTCAAGAAGCATAAACACAGTAAAGATGGATGAATCTTATTTCTCCTATAGATGTCCCTGAAAATGGGTTGTTGCAAAGCCAGAAACTAAGGCTTGAATTCAGTGGCTAAATTTTCCATCTTGTCAAAATGTAGTTATATAAAACTTTATAAAACTATAGCATGTTTTAAAGGTGAACTTGATTGATGTGTAAGCCCAGTTACTGAAACTTACTCAACAAACCCTAGTTTAATGACATATATAAACCTAACATCTGGGTTGAATTAGATTAACTACTATAATTCTCCTCAGGCATAAAAAAACATATCTCTCCAATTATCTTCCATGTTCTCCTTGAGCTGGCATGCATAATTTCCTACTTTAAAACAATACAACCATTTGAGGTAGAGTACATATTGAGTTTCACAATTGAGTGGGGAATATGTGAAACTAGGTTGTCCCAGGCCTAATTATACATACATGTTGTTGCAATAAACAGTGTCATTTTACTGTTTAAGAGATTTTGATAATTGGCATGTATAGTGAGGAAGAGAGTTAAAAAAAATGATCAAGTTGAAGAATTTTCCCTGTCAAAACCAAAAAGCAGAAAAAGAGTAGTGCTTTATCAAGGGTACAGCAAATGCTTCATCTTCTGCCTGATAATAACATATCTATAATAACAGACCACAGTCCTTGGTAGACTTATTTTCCTTTCTCAGTCTTTAATACATTTTACTCATATGAGAGTGAAGAAGTATTTTCATTTCCCCTATTGTTTTTAGCCGTGACCCGTCAAAACCGCGGAGGACAAAATCGCGCTCGACGAAAGCGCGCATTTGACATCATCAGTGCGCGACAAAAAAAATTAAAAATTGAAATAAAATTAAAATTGAAGCGAAAACCTTACCCTA